CTGCTACAGCTGTCTGCATGTCCTCCTTTCTGTTGAATATCTGTAACTGGATTATGTTCCCCACCTTTACTTACATCCTTAAAATGTGTCAGTGAGTAATTATGGAGTATAAATATCATCCAAGTTTTTTCTGCATGGGGAAGGTCAATACTCCATTTCAATACTAGAGTACTTTGTTCATCTAGCTTGGCTTTTTCCTTGAAGGAGTACAGTAGCCTAAGTATCCCAAAGGGACGGGTTCAAATACAGGGTTATGTAGGCTTTTCCAGCTGATATTCTCATGTGGGGTGAGCTTTTTTGGTGTTTGTGGCTTTTTGTCTTTTTTTTTTTTTCTTCTTTTCTTTTCTTGGACATGGCAAAAATAGGAAGGGGTGCAGAAGTAACTTTGCGAAGCCTGCGCCGTGTGTTATTTCTGGCCTGCTGCTCTGGGCTTTAAGGAACTGTCACGGGATGCTCTTATTTTCAGAACTATTTGCAATGATTCTTATTTTAGCTTATTCATTGTTGCTTGTGCTGAGTTTCGCAGTTGGGTCAGTAATGGAAATTTAATATGAATCTCAGTTGTGAAAAACCACTGAGACGTATCTTCCCTCAGACTGGGATAAGGAAAGCTGTCTTGGTTTGGTTTTGGACGAAAAAAGTAGGATCCTACTGGCTAACAGCTGTTGCTTAGGAAAAGAGTTGTAGGAAATGAAGTATAACATTAAAGGATGGGTTTTCTGCTTCCAACACTCAACAGGGGAAGGCTTCCTAAGCCACAAACCCTGATTCATCATTTGATCCCTGTGATTTGATCCACCCCTGTGATGGACCAGCCCTTCATTAATTTGACTGACTCGTTTTTGACAGTGACCTCAGTGCTGAGGCCTTCCACTTATGTGCTTTAAAGGCAACTGCCTGAGATTTTCATTGACTGCTTCCAGCCTTTACAGCAGGAGACATGATGAATACTTATTTCTTATTTATCTTCTCTGTGTCATTTGTGATATGGTAAATGCTCCTCATACTCTTTCTTTGATTTTCTGAGATTGGAAATTTCCCCCCCTTGCAGAGAAGTTGCTCCCTACCTCTAATCACCATTTTATGTCTTTTGCTATCCTTAAGAATTTCACTGGCTGAGAGCACAGACAATATTCAAGATTAAAATGTGCTTTGTATTTATGATTGCACAATGATGTTTGGTTTGGGGTTTTTGTGGGTGTTTTTTTTTTTTTTTTTTTACCCATTTCCTGTGATTCTTTCACTTTTTTGACTACTTCTGAGCAATGAAGCAGCATGGCTTCCTTCCCCATGAGTGTCGGCTTAAGAACTTTCTGTTAAATCATGAGGCATGTCTTCTGTCCCAACTATTGCATTTCAAAGTACACCATCCTTCATTTGATTTTTTTGTGTGGCATCTGAGGATGTGACATTAGGGATTTCAGTTTACTCAAGATGCTAAGAGCACTTTTTAGACCTCAGAAAATCAAGCAATGCTTTTGCCTGCAGAAATTAAGCAATGCTTACGGAAACAAACTTTGTCCAGAATAGAGTACTTCAGCTTAACATACTTACAGCAGGGCCAGAATCAGGCTGGACTCTTCAGATTAGTTGGCTCTAGTAAGATCTATGTGTTGATATCCTAGATTGGCTTGTTTCCCTCTTAAAAAAAACAATTTTAAAGAAAATTTTGTTACTGAACCTCATTGGTATGTTTTCCTTAAGTAAGATGAATTTATCTTCAGCAGATGTTTTCATCTGTCAAATAGTCTTAATGTGACATCCTGTGTCCCTTCTATAGCCTAATCTAATTTGCCAGTTCCTAAGCACAGAACCAAAATTCAGTATTGCTAGGCTTTAGTTTTCCAGTTTACTTACATCACGATACTTTGGTTGTTTTGTTGCTCAGGCCGTATGTGCTTCATCACTGTTCCTGCACTCAGTATTGCAGGTTTGATAATATGGGCACTTTGCATACGTATGTGTCTGTGTAACAAACTCTGACAAATGTGCCTCAGTGCGCATTATCATATAACTGTTAGGAAACATTGGACCTGTTGCACATGACCTAGTACTTGAACAAAGCAATGAAAAGCATTATTATTGGTAATTTTCCTCAGAAGCCCTTTCTATTCTGTTCCAGGAACTGGCTATAAGGGGCTTTCCAGCAACAGTGCATAGTCCTTTATGTTATAATTTCCTCCTGTGCCTTGGGTATATTATTTGTAAAATTACATGTCAGATCTACCCAAGCATCACTAAGCTTTGTATTGGAACAATGTACAGTATCAGCCAATAAATGTGCTCTTTAATTACCATTTCCTTTTTTTAGGGGGGAGGAAATGGAGCCAGGAGGGAAAAGGAAGTTTGTTCTTTGGGTGTCTAACGCAATTAATTTTCTTTATGTCCTCCAAGGTCCCTGAGACACTTAAGAGGTGTTGTGATGTCTGGCTTATCTGAACCATCTATTAAACGTTGGCAGCCCGAGTCACAAAATGTCCCTGGTGTAGACCAAGGCTCTGATGACACAGAGAAGCACGTGTGGACTTCAGAGACTCAGTCCAAGTTTGGTTCCCTGCCTGCCTGCAGCCTGCTCCTCTCCCAAGCGCCCTTCGATGGGCTCAGACTTTCGCGCGGTTTGCTCCCTGGCGCTCCAGATAAAGCTTGTCAGGGTGCGAAGGCAGCAGCACAAAAGCTAATCAAGGAAGACCTCGGCCATCCATCACAGTTACAGGCTAAACAATCCTTTATTGTTGGAGAACTGGCCCCTTTTTATAAAAATGATAAAGAAATCGTTACGGAACAAAACCAGCAATGTTTCTATTTTTAAGGAATATTTTAAGGGACTCTCACTCTGTCTTCTGTATGTGTCAAACAAAAAAGTGTGAATCAAAGCTACCTGTTAGATTTAGATTTGCAAGAGGAAGTTACCAAATGAATTTGCTTATTTGGGGCTCAGTTACCAAAAGGATTCAAACTGAGAAGACGATAAAAGACCATGGTGATAGGAGATCTTATTCCCCGTATCATGAATAATACTCAGACTCCCGTAATGAAAGGTTTTGAGAACATCTCTCTGTGATCACCAATGCCCAGGCTCTCAGAGGTATGCAGGACCTGCTGAGACGTGGCAGCTGGACCCAAGAGGAGAGAATGATTCCCAGCCAACGCTATTCCTGTCTTCATACAAAACCAGCAGCAGAAGTGAGACTAAGAGAAAAACACGAGGCATCTTGCCTGTTGTCTCTGCCCCATTTCTGCTTGTTGTTCAGCTGTAACTTCAACCTTGAAGGCAGTTTCATGTGAAAGGTTTTTAGCCCTTCTCTATAGAGTCATGTCAGGTTTAGACTGGCTAAAACCACGGCCTGCAGATTTCATCAGGGTCACAGCCTCCATACTCACTGGTCCCTCTAACTAGGGGTTCCCAGCTTTTACTGTTGCACCCTCTAATGCAAAAACGCCAAAGAAACAGTTCTTAAAGATTCAACTTGCATATTTTTTCCCCATAGGTGTTACTCCTTTGCAAATGCAGAGGCTAAGGGGGGAAACATCGTTGTCCTGCACTTTATTGCAGCAGCAGGGTTGCTAGGATTGCCCCACGCTGGAGGGGCACACGTCTGTGGGGCACAGCAAAGGCCGTGACTGTAGTGGATGCCAACTTTCTGCACACGTGGGGAATTTTCTTGTATGTTCCCCAGGATCTTCCCAGCTGCTGTCAGGTGTGGCCTTGCATTGCCGTGAGTGTGAGCGGGGCAAACCTTACTGCTGCTGGAGAAAAGGCAGGAGCAGCTGGCTGAGAAGATACTGAGGGAAAGTGTTCATTTTAAAATCTTGTTCTCTGGCTTTTCACATGGAAAGAAACAATTTGGTCTGTGTTTCTTTCTTTCTGTCACTCAGCAGCTGTAGCGCAGCTCTATAGCATTTTAACATGCAGATGTCGTGAAGAGTTCATACAAGACAAAGGAAGTATGGCTAACAATTTATTATTTGTATTATTTGTAACTACTCAACCTTAGCACGCTTATCACCTAAATTGTCTCAAAAATAATCCATCACCATTCAGCAAGTATCAGTGTAGTCATCTGTAGACATCATATGTGAAACTGCCTGCATGAAGAAATCGTGCTATTACAAAGAAGTGGGTGGTTTTTAATTTTTTTTCTTTTCTTTTTTGTTTTCTAAGAACTGTCTGCAGGGATTATACTCAGTCATTCTCAGAATTGCTTGTGCATAAGGCAGGCACGCCTGTTGGTGAGTCTCAGGAGGCATATTTTTATTGTTTTGCATTGTTTTTCTTGGTTAAAGTAAGGACCTGATTCCGTGAAGTAGTGGCAAAACATGATTTACAGGGAAACGTGTTGCGTTCAAACTCCTTTGTTATTACTAGCAGCTATTGCAAATATGAGGCATGAGACATTGAAAGTAAAGTAACATGTCATCTGCTGTATATTTTTTGCCCAGTGCTGTACTTATGCCCATAAAGCTTGTGCCCACCTCTGTAAACAAATATGTGCATGATTAACTTGTTACCATGTGTTGTTCCAGAGGGTATATCTATAAATGTTTGCAAATTCTAGGACCAAATGTGTGGATCTAATAGAATGTGACAAAATTCAAATGTGTTTGTACCTGGAGAACAAAACCAGGTCATTACTAGCTCTGAATTTTTTTTTCATCTTTCTCCTTTAAAGCAGATGTTTGCAGGAAAAACTACTATGTGGCTCCGTGGTCTTTGAGGTATGGAGCATCTTACTATTCCTCTTTAACAATAGTCTTTCAAATAAATACGCTGCCTATTGGCTCAGCCAGTGAGATTTGTCACACATACAAATGCAAAATATATTTCAAAGACTTATCTGTCATGTAAGTTTTTAAAACTATTTCCCCTCATTGTAACTTTCTGGCAATTAAAGCTACTGATTTACACGATAGCAATTTAATCTATTGTCTTGAGAATCAGACGGATGTGACGTTTGGTCTTTATCTTTCCTTTTAAATGAACAAGAGTTCCTGGCTTTTAGAAAAACAAGAAATTTCAGACCAAAGCCATTCCAGTCCCGTCTTCTGAAGGAACACGGGAACAATGGTGGTGTAGGTTTATAGGTGGCAACTGGAGGAGCTACTTATTCGTGTGCAAGAGGAATCTCACACAGAAGAAGGTACGTTCATTTCTAATTAAGCCAGTGAAAAAATCATAGAGGATTATATACTAGCAGACCTTACTTGATTGTATTCTGATTTGTTAGTGGTGCCTGCTCTGTTAGATTTCAGTGAAACTTCAAGTCTGCAGCTTAGGACAAACTGTGAGGTGGAAGGGGGCTGAAGAGAAGGGTTTTGTAACCTTTTTTCTTTGCCTGCTTTGTAAAACTGAAGGATTAACAAAGAAAAGCAATATCTGATTCAGTCACAATAACACAGTGCATGCACTAAAAATATACTAGCAAGTGTGTAATCTGAGAATAATGCCTATTGTTTTCTTTACCATTACTTTGTAGTTGCATTCCCATGCAGTTGCCACTTCTGAGCTGTCTTGCAGCAGTAATGGCCTTATGCCAGACTGGTATTTGCAGCATTATATTAGGCTGAGCTTTATAATAGATCTTTCTTTTCCCTTGTAAATAAGGCAAACTCAGTGTTTATTTATGTGGCTATGAATTGGACCTCCATAATTGACATCAATAAGAAGTGCACGTCTGTAAACTGAAATCAGAATTTGTCTCTGCAAAATGTATTCTAGTCTTTAATTGGAGGGTTCTTTTAGGGAAAGGTGTGTCTGGTCTCCAGGCATTAATATATTAAATATGGTAAATTTAAGCCTCTCTAGTTGCTTATATGATCACTGAAATTAACTCACTTAAATGGAGCTCCCTATAGCTTTCATCCATTAACAGCTAATGTCTTGCCACAGAACGAATCTGTAGTTCACTATCTGCATGACACTCATATCCTATTACTATTTTTAAAGCCCTGACAGTACAGAAGGTAGCTTATCGACATATGGAGAACAAAGCCTGACGTTTTGGTTGTAGAAAGCAGGAGGCAACGCTAAAACTGATTTTGGTGAATGGAAGTTTTCACCCTGGCTCTCTAATCTCTGCACAATTTCCTCCCTTTACTTCTTGCTCCTTATCACAAGCATATTACCACCCTGAAATCAGTGGATTATAAGCATGTGGTTATAATGGTCTGCCAGCTTGTTGGCATTCTCTTCGTGGATCTTTGGGCAAGATGCAAGTCTTGTGCAGTGGAAATGACTTCTGCTGGAGCCAAGTTGGCTGATCCAGTCTAGTGTGCTTCTTCATGTCAGTTTGTCTGATAAATAATGCTGTGTATTGAAGGGCTTTGTGTGTGCAATGTATTAACTTGTGTAAATCGGAATACATGTGTATGTTGGATTGCATTTCCTGTGGAGGTAGCCCACATTTCCCTGCAATGAGAAGTGAAAATGGGAACAAAGAATAGTTATTCTCCTTGATTACCTATTTAAAGAAGCATGGGGGGATAACTGCATTACTGTGAAAGTCTGTGTGGATTATAGCTTTCTGAAATGCTGTAGAACCTCAAAAATAACTTTATAAAGAAAGGATAGAAAATGGTGAAGAGTTGTGAAACAGACTAAACACTCCAAACTAAGGATATTCTAATATCTCTCCTTTTTATTTTTGACAGATGCTCCTCTTGGCAGTGCTGCTAACAAACCTGCTGCTGGCCACTGTAATATCAGGTAGGAAAACATGTTTATCCTCTGATGTCTAGGAATTATAATATGTTTTCACTGTTTCTTCTGTGAGATCCCATCCTCCCCCCCTGCCTTTTTTTCTTTTTTTTTTTTTTTTTTCCCCATCTCATTCTGCAAGCCTGGGTCAGGCAATAATCTCATCGTGCTGGAGATGTCGATAAAGTTACTTCTTTTAGGTCTTTACCTTGCAACAAGCACTGTGTTGAGTCACAAAGACTCCCTGAAGTCAGTGATGTTTGGCTGAATAAACTATAGGGCTTTGCTACTGCCCTAGTGATTTTAATGGGATCGCAGGCAGGCACAAATGAATGAACGCGTGGCATTCCTCAAAGGGTCAGGACTGAAATTACCCATGCAAGGTTTGGGCCAGTAGAAATAAAGCAAAAAAGCCTTTTCACTAATGCGTATAATTAAAAAAAATCTGTGCGTAATCCTATGGACTGTCATGCCAGCCATACATTCTGCCTAGAAGCTGGAGCTAAAGGTCCAGGACACACAATGATCAATGGTGATACATTCCAGCAGATAAATTCCTGAACTACAAAATGATTGTTTTACATTGCAAGTTATGTTCTGTTTTGATATCCAGGGTCATCAGGTTCTTTGCTTCAGGAGTCATCAGTTTCCCGTTGCAGCCTTTTTGGGAATCACCACATCAAAACTTTTGATGGTTCTTTCTACAATTTTGCGGGGGACTGCAGTTACCTTCTTGCTGGGGACTGTCACAAGCACTCCTTCACGCTCTTAGGTAAGTCTGAGCAAGATACTGAGAAGTAACAAATGCAAAATGTTGTGGGGATGTGGCTTTGCCCTTGTCCTGGGTTCTGTCACTGAGAAGAAAAGATGAATAGCTGCCCTTTGTCAGATAGGACAGACCACTGCATAAAAGGATAATGTGTTTATTTTTGTTCGGTGGGGTTTTTTTTTTGGTGGTGGTTGTTTTTGTTGTTGTTGGAGTTTGTGTGTGTGGTTTTTTGAGTTTGGGGTTTTTTTGGTTTTGTTTTTTTTTTAAATTAGGATTACTTCTGAAGAAAGTTTGTCATTTTGGCTTCTGTTATCCCTTGGTAATATAGCTCACACATAACTAAGCTGCCAAGGAATGGAGATTTTCTTACTGGGTCTTCTAAAGCGGGAAAGTGAGACCTTTTTTAATTTTGAATTTGCTAGTGAAATGTGGCTGTTAAAGCTGGGTACAGGAATAGGAACTACATGACGCTGTGCAACTAATTTTATCTGTATGCTAAATTCCTCCTAGTAAGAAAAAATCCCATCCTGCAGGACAAAAGGCCTTTGACTTAGTATGAGCTTCTGCAGTGTTATTCTTGGGGATGGACAAGAGATGATATGAGAACCAAAGCTGTATATTACTTTCATACCAAACTCTTTTGGTAGATATTTTTATATTCATTAATAACTGTTCTATGTTAGTCATAGTTTAAGGTGACTCTTTACTGACTACAAGTAAATTGAAGTAAACTGATTCCATCACTCTGAAAAGGAATCATATACTAATCTAAATAATTTTCCTCCTCAACTTGAACAACTTGGTACAAAGTTTTTGTATGTAGTAGAACCCCTCAGCATATGTGAAGTATGAATTGATTGCAGTATTTTGTGATCAATTAAATTTAAAAAACCCCATACAACCATGAGCCGACACTTTATTGTTGGCACGTAAGCATGGCATAATCTATTTTTGATTTCTATCTTGTTATATGTGTGTGGGTTTGTTTTGGTTTTGGATACCTGGCTGTGAAGCGCAATCTGCGTTGCTGAGTAAAGTGTCTAGGTCTGGGCAGAGCTGGCAACCTTGGAACAGGAGGTCCAGATGGGGGGCATGTTGCACAAGGAGCTGCTGTAAGGTCAAAGCTAGACAATCGGCAAAAGCAGAGGAAGGACTATGTCTGAACACCCCCACCCTCTTCTATCTCAGAGCCTAAAAAAGTTGTCTCCATCTCTATGTGCTGCTCCTTTTGAAAAAATTTAAAAAATTCAGGGTGAGTTGTTCCCCACTCCCGCCAAGTTGGATAGTCAATATTGGCATCCACCCCTTAAAGACCAGTTGAGATGGTTAGAGGGCTTATCAAGAATGAAGATATCCAGGCTCAGTTCCTTCATCAGTTCAATGAATTCATCCCCCTTCTCTTACCACTGAGCCATGGGTTGCTCTTGGGAGGAAACTGGGAAGGGAAAGAATATCTCCTGTGGAAACTCCTCCAGTGTGCATGGTAGGATGGAGAATTCACTGGCTAGAGACAGTAACGGGGAGAGCGTGAGTCCACAGCCAGTTCCAGGTCATGTGCCTGCTGGTGGTTGATGCCAGCCCTCATCCTGGGACTATCTGTCCATTTCATGTTAAACTATGGGATGAAATAGATGCATGGCTCTTGAAGATGTTAGATGATATGCTCCCAACCCTGCAATGTGTACTTGCAAGTTGTCCTCCTGAGTCCCAGAACTAACAATGTTGGCTTATGTCTCATCTCTTCAGGTGACTACCAGGATGGAGAGAAAATTGGTTTCTCTGTGTATCTCGGAGAATATTTCAATCTTCGCTTCTCTTTAGATGGAAGTGTGATGCAGGAAGACAAAAGGTACTTGTGGGAACAAGTATTCCAGCAGAAAAAACCCAATGGTTTTTGTGTGTCATACTCTGAGAAATTCCTGTGTTTCTTCACAGGGTTTCCATGCCTTTTGCCTCCAATGGCATATTTATAGAGAAGGAGGCAGGTTATTATAAAATATCCAGTGATGAGCATGGCTTTGTGGTGAAGATTGATATCAGTGGGAATATTCAGATACTTCTTCAAGAAAAGCTCTATAATAAGACCTGTGGGTTGTGTGGCAACTTTAATAAATTTGCTGAAGATGACTTCAGAACCCAGGAAGGTAAGACTATGACTAACTGATTGTATTTTAATGTACGCTCTGCACATTTCCCTGATGGGTGATTCAACAAAGATTTTGCTGATCCAGCAAAATGTTTCTACAAAACCTGTCAGGTACCTTATCTTGATGTGCCAAAAAGCTGTCTGACTAAGTTCTTTCATCTTCCTTTCTCCTGAAAGGGAATAGCTGTTGCATTTCATTCCTGAGTAAAGCCCAGAAGTTGAATTTAATACTTGTAGAAACCTTGAATCTTGAAACACAAAGATAAAGCTACAGGGTAAACAATGTACAATATAGTGTGTGGGGAGACCAACTAGGAGAAGACCCAGCAAAAAAAGATGTGAGGAATACTTTTCGTGAGTTAGGCAAGCAGGAGTAAAAATAGATAGTGTTGCAATAGCAGAATATTAAATCCTGAGGGTTGCTACTGGCCGGTTTGTCCTTGGATGTGGCATGGAATGCTGTTCTACAAAGTGGTTATCTTTTAATGATATTTACCTGTCTATATGGGCTGTTGGACTGGATGTGTACCTTATAGCAAACTAATCCCTAATGAGAGGGAGAGACAAGACTGCTTTTGCTCTATACATCTTTATGCCAAGTCTGCCAGTGTGGGTGAAGACTAAGAGTTTTGGAAAAGCCCTGAATATGACTTTGAAGGGCTGATCTTCATTTGTGGTATTTCAGAGTGTCTTTTAATTCTTAGCACCTACCTGAAGAGGAAAGGTTTAGAGTAAAGTTAGTTAATACATTAATATGTTAAATTGATAATGATGTAAACTATGTATTAAAAATAAATGATACAGCAAATAGGGAAACAAAGCAACTTGGAGAACAGCATGGCAGTGCTCCAAAGATGTGTCTTACTGACACTTGGGATACATAAGCATAGCTTCAATGTACAGAAAAAAATTATTTCATAATATGTTAAAATGATTGATCAGTCCTTCAGCAATGTAACGAACTCAGCTCGTGGAATTGCTTCGTAGGGCTTGGATACCTTGATGTCTGAATGTGTTGACATCTTAAGTTTACATCTTTTTCTCGAGACAATAAATAGGAGTGAGGCTGTTATAAAAAACAGGAGCAGAAAAGGAAACTCTATTGCCTTGGACTCTTCAAATGCAGAAGATACCCTTCTGCTGCTCATGTTTAAATGTGTTTCATGCTGTATTTGTTTAACATGCCAGACACTGTATCCTCTTTCTTAAAAAAAAAAAAAACAAAAACCAAAAACAAAACCAAAAAAAGCAGTGCTTTCACAACGACAGATTTCTGAATGCAATGAAGTCCATGACAGGGCCACTGCTTGGAAGGGCTGATAAATAATAAAGATGGTGACAGAGCTCATGCATAGCTTTTACTGTATGAGGAAGGCCCTGACTTCTGTAACCTGCATGGACATGCAGATCTGTGATTTTTAGTGTGGAGAATAGACTTGTATCTCTGCTATTATGCCATTTTTTTACTCTGATACAATAGATCTTCCACTTAAACTAATTTAGAAGGAATTAGAATTAATTATGTTTGAATTTGTTGTATCAGTGAGGGACGTCACTACACCCACATGCTATTTGTCTCCTTGGCAGCTCTGCTGGCGGGGTGGTTCATATGAGCTTTTCTTAACTTGCTCCAAGTAAAACCAGATGTTGATTAATTCAGACTTTTTTCCAAAAAAAAACCCAAAACAAAAAACTGTTTAACTTCCAGGTGAGGGGTGACACAAGCAGCTGGGAGAGGTAATACTCTTTAAACGAAAGATCTAGGCAGCCTATTGGTAGCCTATGAAGCAGTTTACCCTTTTTTTTCCACTGCAGTTTTTATTTGCTCTCCTTTTAGCCTGATTAGATCACATAAAGGGCAACCCAACCCAGGATGTGAGCTTGATGTAATGACTTTGTGATCTGAGGGCACCAAAGGGTTACATTAAGGTTGCTAGCAGACTGAACTCTCCTGTTGATGTGTCCATTACTTCCTGTTAAAATCTAGGCATATTTTTATTTATCAGATTGGGCCGTCAGTTCTAATCCATTAGATATGTTTCTGGGCTGGGTTTGTATTGATAATAAATACAGTAAGATCTTTGAGCTTCAGAATAATATGCAATGGAAGCACAGTGCGCAAAAGAAAAAGACAACGATCTAATGTTGCCAAGATTATGGGCTCTCATCTGGAAACCCGTGGGGAGCGCTATGCAGAGCTGAATATCAGAAGCAAAGGGAGAGAGATGATGGTAGAGCTTATGCATCAGGTATTTGTGCTATAGCCAAAGAGCTTGTCAGACAGCTGAGATGTGTTAAACCTTCCTCCAGGCTTTTTTAAGGCTGGGCAGGCACCCCAAGATGTACTAACCTTTAAACTGCTTTGATTTACACTGAAATGGTAACCTGTCTGGTTGCTAATAGGCATTGCCTGGTAGGAGGGGAGCCTATAAGAATCACTGAGATAGAAAGAGGTCTGCAGCTGAAATGTTTTCTTCTGTCTCTCACAGACTGTAGCTGACACGGTTTAAAAGCTAATGCAGTACTCTCGTATCATCTTCCTGCGTAGGAGGAAACTCATGTGACTTGATGGACCATTTCTAGGGCTTCTTTGTGATGCCAGAGGACCAGATCCCAAATTTGTGCAGAAGTCAGAGTTTTCATGGATATAATCTAGCCCATAAATGCTGTCTTTCATGTAGCATCACATGTTTTGTCACGGTTTCAACAAGATGGCAATGTTTATGTTGAAAACAAATGAATACATGATTTTTCCATATTTTAGAAAAATATATTGTGGTTTAATAACACAGAGGGTTAGTTTTGTTTGCTCCTAACAAAGTGGATTATGATCTAGAACTCATTAATTATATTTGGATTGTTTTGGTGTGGTGGTGAAATAAGAGGTGAAGCACCTGCTATATTATTGGACATTACCACTTACCAAGTAAATAAAGGAGGCATGAAGGAAAGGGTGTTCAAACTTAGCGAACAGTGTGTAATTGTTTTGCTTTCTCCTAATACATTTATACTCATGTTCTATAGTCTGTTCAATCGTGTGCTATTGTCATGGCACTCTTATGACTCCTCACTGTGTTTTGTTGTGGAAACTGAGAACTGATAGTCTGATGAGAGAATAATGCACACTGCTTCTGTATACACTTTTGATGCTCCGTTATTGAGGTCCTGGAGGTTCTAAGTGATGTGACTCAAGCTATGATACCTTAGCAAACTAACATGGGTAGGACCCAGCTTTGAAGGTAGCGGCCTTAGGCAGTAGCTCTTGAACCTCAAACCAAAAACCAAAACAACAACAACAAAAAGTCTCCCCAGTAGATTTCAGAGTTGCAGGCGTGTACTTTCATTCATACAGAGGATGAGGTGCCGAGTCACTGTCGTTGACATAGTTGGTTACTGAAGTATTTCATCCTGCAGAGAAGTGCTCATGTCCTGTCGAGACTTACAAACAGGATTGATTATATTGAACATGGTTGCTTGTTTATGGAATACGGCAGTAAAAATAAGCCAGCTGCCCCTTGAGAGTTTGTTCTCACACTTTAAGCATAACTAAAATATAAAAAGAAAGTTCTTGGAAGCTTTCCAGGGTTTTTTTGTTTGGTTGGTTTTTTTTTTTTTTTTCCTGTTTGGGTTCCCCCCCCCCCAGATCCTAGTGTAGGGGTTAATTTCTCCTCTGCTTTTTCTTGCCAGCTAGGCTCTAGTCCTTTATGGCCACGCTGTGAATGCTTCCAAGACTTGGTAACTGAACAGGCTCTGCTTTATGACACGGTCATACACTTCTAACTGGTTACCAGTCTTTGCTCATATCAGAAAAATGATGTTGAGTCCTTTCTAGATGCTCAGGTATCTATTTGGCAGCCTCCAACCCATGGCATTTGAGTGTCTCATTATCATTGTCATCAGCATTTTACAACTGAGGATCCAAAGCACAGACCAGAAGAGATGACTGACACAATACTACAGAGGAAATCTGTCAGAACAGGGGCAACTTGACCCTGAAATCCCCTTGGGGCACGCGCACACAAGTGGCCAAACCCCATAGCCTTGCAGCATGTTTGTGGTTGAAGGGCATACTCTTACCTTGCAGAAAGCGTGAGGTAATTTCTCTGAGAGAGGCTGCAGCACAAACTCATGGACTTATTTGTGTGCCCGTAGCCTCAGTCTTCGCCTACTGCTTATTGTTGAGCTGTCTCATGGTGATATTGCCGCCATAGGCGCTTGGATGTCTAGGTCATCGTTAAAGTTTATTTGTGCAAAAGAGCTCATTCAAGTCCAACACAGGGACTTGTTACTTGTGTATGTTACGTGCTCTTAGCATTAAGGAAAAAAAAAAAAAAAACAACAACCCAAATTAATCCAGCGCCCCATTATGCTTTTCTTGGCAGTGGCAGGAAGTGTGTTTCTGGGAATCTGTCTCCAAATTACAAAGGCATTAATGATAAAACAATACCCATGGTTAATTTTGGATAAAGGCTTGATATTCTGAGCCTGCTTCAGCTGTCAGCAACATATTCTAGCCTTTTAAGCTGCTGAAATACAATGCTGCTGGAGAGTGACTATAGGTTAAATCAGTAGAAGCAGACAGTATCTGCAAGGAAAAATGTGATGTTTCGTGTAATGTTTTTGTTGCAGAAGTAGTATAAATGCATTTGACTGAATATGCAGCTTCCTTGAGAGTGTTATCAGAAGCTTTTAAAGCACGTTCCAAACTCACAACAATGGTACTGCAGATATAATTTTTTTCTTTTCCCTAAAAAAATAAATGAAACTTGTGGTTATTCTGAATTTTTTTTATTCTTTTATTTTAATTTTAAAGGATATCAGTAATTTGATTTTAGGCAAATCTAAGGTTTTTGTTTGACCTAAGTAAACAATCTCATTTTCTTTCTTGCATTTTAATTTGAAAGCAAAGAGGATAGATTCACAAGGGAATTTAGCTGTGACTTCCAAATAGTACAGATGAAGATGATTTGCCTTGTACCTTTCTTCGTACCTTTCTAT